TTTTTGGGGGGGGATATTTTTGCTATAGGGTACGTGTGCTCACCAGAAAGAGAGAGACAGAAAGTGAGATATCATCCCCCAGGGAGGGTGGCCACGCCGCAATCCCTTCTCCTCTCGGGATCTTGGGCACACATGCACATGTGCCTGCCATGAGTTTGAGCCACCGGATCCAGGACTCGAACCACAATCGACTGCATGGGAGTCCAGCAGCATGGCCATTACACCAACTGCTGGTCTCCAGATGTATACATTTTTAAATAACTTTTACCAGAGGGTGTGTTCACTTATTAGAAAAAAGGGGGGATAGTGAGAAAGCACCCCTTGTGGGGCGTGGTCACGCCGCAATCACTTCCCCTCCATTTCTCCTTCTTTTTTGGGATTCCAGGCATGCGTACACATGCATCCAACGTGTTTCTCAAGCTGCTGGATCCGGGACTCAGACCACACAGTTGGCCGTGTGGGATCCAGCCACTTTAAACCCCATGCCACAGGTGGCCCTGAATACTTTCTTTCCTATTATTAATGTGCATTTTCTGCCTGCTCTTTTTTCCAGATGGTGGGGGCACTCCTTCTGTGGTGTGTACTTAACAAATAGATTATTCCAGTAAAAAAAGCTGGCAAGATTGGCATTTAAGCTCCTTGCACATGAGATTTTCATACCCTCCGGAATGAGCTCAGCTTCCAGTCCGTAAGCCTCCTGTGGAAATGCCCTCACTCTCTTCTCCCAGGCACCCAGTGGGGTTGAGCAGACCAGACTGTCTTGCTTGGGCTAAGTGCAAACCCCCACAGGGCACCGGAGTTACTTTCTTTCCATGGCTCCGTAAGAGGGCAGTGACCTTGGAGCAGCCTGGTCCGGCAGTCCCAGTGCTCCTGACAGTGGTTTCACCCATTCGATGAAACTAATGGGAAATCAGATTTTGCTCTGAACTGTTTTGAGGGTGCCATTTTAAGACAAGTAACTCTTAGGGTTACACTTAGAGTTATCACCTTAAATCTCCTGTTTTTCATATTTTTTTGGAAAAACTTCATTATTTCACAACTTTCTGAATTTAATTTTTTTACTTTAAGCTAAATAATTTATGACTATAGCAAGGCATCATCTTGAAACCAGAATGTTTTCCTTAGAACATTGGACTGCACAGTCTCAGGAGACCCCACTTACCAGCCTAGAGTAAACTGAAGCAAGCAAGTATGACTTGGATTGGTTTTTGGTCGTTTTTTGGTTTTGTTTTTTTGCAGTATAAGAAAATACTAATGTAAACGATTAGACTTTATGTGAGGATATATGAAACTATGACTCCAGGAGTGATACTCAGAGAATCAAGCTCTAATTATACCTCTGAACCTATTTCTTTAGCCAGTTCTTTTCTGTCTGCCCCCTAAGAACAGGACTTGCTGCCTCCTACAAATGCCCTTGTTTGTTTAATCTCATTCTCGATTTTTCAAAGTGTGATGTGCCCTTGACTGATGCAGGGTGCCCTTCGTAGGAAGCTGAACATTTGTGAAACAAGCACGTTTGTGCTTCTGGGGACGGTGTTCGCATGATCTTGACTATGTGTTTGCTGTTTAAAAATTGTTAAGTTGGAGGATTTGGGTAGAGCTCATTTGTATGTGGTTTCTCTACTTGATTGACATGTGGTGCAGAGGGCTTGTCCATTAGCTGTCCTGCAGACTGAGGGTAGGCAGCATTATTACGCTAGCTGGGGCAAACTCATCACTGCTATGTTATGGGGGCAGTGCTCAGCAAGGCAGCACCTAGGATGTAAAGTGAGCAGTTCCTCAGCAAAAATGATTTAGAGAGAAACTATTAAACGATTGTATTTCCTTGTCTTCAGAGTTTGCATTCAATACAGAATAATAATGCAATATTACAGTTCCATTTGCACTCTTCCTTACGGAAGAACTGTGGTTTTCTACCTTCTAAGTGGAATGTTACAAAAGATATATTAAACTATTGGAATAGACCTATAACTTTATTAATGGAGTTTCTGTTTTAGAATAATATTCCTTAAAATTTTTAAAAATGATGTAAAAATAAAAAGAAAAGTCATGACACATGTTTGTCATGAACAAATACATACATGAACAAATACATCATGACTTTTCTGATGACCCAGTAATTACTGTTCAATAAACAGGTACTTTATTCATGATAGAACACAAGCAAGCATGAGAAAGAGAGATAAGCACATGCCTAAGGGTCTGGTCATACTGCTATTCTGAAATCCCCCTCCTCCAATCCCTCAATCTGTAGGTTCTTGGGCACTTGCGTACATGCCTGGTGTGTTTCAGGTTGCCTGGGCCAGAGATTCAAACCATGGTTGCCATGTGGGATCTGTCTTCTCTTGAGCAGCTCATTAGTGCTGTGCCATGGAGCCAGCCCACAGATATTCATCTTCTAAAGTCAGTCTTGGGGTCAGCAGTTGGCATGGTGGTTAAGAATCCTGGTCCGAGTCCCAGACCCGGCGGCTTGAAAATCACATCAGCTGTGTGCGCATGCGTGCCCCAAATCTCAGGGGGCGAACGGAGGAGACGGGATTGCAGTGTGGCCAACTTTCCCTCTCTCTGTCTCTGTGTCTCACCAGTGCATGTGTCCTGTGGCAAAGCATCTTTTTAAAAAGTCAATATTATTGTTATGATTTCGGTTTATCAGTTATCTTATTTACCATAGAAAAAATCAAAAATAGAGAAAAATGTAGAGAAGAAATTAAAGCCACCTATTCAAAGATCACTTGTAAATCTTCCACCCCTTATTCCAAATGTTATGTTTAATTTAAAAAAATTTGTCTGAGGACAAAATTTGTCTGGTGTCTAAGGACACCAGACAGAGACAGAGAGCAAAAAGAGAGAGAGAGAGATCGAAACCCCATAGGCGTGTTCATACCGCAATCCCTTCTCCTCCCCCACGCCCTCCTTTTGGGATTTTAGACACACATGCACACGTGCCTGGTGTGTTTCTCAAGTCCCCAAGTCCAGTACTTGAACTGCATGGATGACCATGTGCTATCCAGTCACCTTAACCACCAGGTCACAGGCTGGCCCTCATGTTTTCATTTTTTTCCCAGAAACTTTAACATCCAGTTGTATATGCCTGCTATTGTGAAAGTGCTTTAGAATAGTGTAAGGTGGTAATAAAAAATAATCATTTATAATTTTCTAAAAATGCTCCTTGGGGTGGGCCCCCATGTGCTCTCCTCTCCAGTCATTCTGGCATCCATGAGTTCTTGCTCACATCCTTGTCAGAGGGGTAGCATTATCTTGGGTATGATGAAATTTGCAAAACCTAATTAATGTTTAAAAGTAAGTCTACGTTCGGCAGTTCCTTTGGGCTGGGGATGTGGAAGTAGGAAGCAACAGGTAATGGCAGTGCCACAACGTTGAATAAACAAATTTAATGTATTGAGTGTCGCAATTTCAAAAAGGCTGAGTCTACTCCCAGTCCTTGGTCGTGATCCTGGGACACTGTATGTGTGAGGATAATCCTTTCAGCATATCAACCCCAGGGACCCTGCTTCTTCCATGAAGAGCCTCTTCATCCCACCATCCTCTCAAAAGGTCTCTCTCTTTCCTTTTTAAAACTTTTTTAAAAAGTCTATTCATTAAAGGGGGAGAGAGATTGGCACCCTCAATAGGATCTTCCTTCTACGAGCCACCCAGAAGCATGGATACATGTACCCCACCATGTACAGGGAGGTCTCGGGACACGAACCTAGGACCTTCCCCATGAAGCCTCAGCACTGAGGCATGTTACATTACTACTACGCCTCCATGCCTGGCTCAGTTCTTTCTTTCGGACTGATGGTGTTTTAAAACCAGGACTCCTTTAGCACTTGATTTTGTTTTTGTTTATCTTTTAGACAAAGACACAAAGACAAAAGTGAAAAAAAAAATCCTCTTTTGCAACCCAGAACTCATTGTTTAGTATGAGTTTTGATACATATATGAAGGAATATTAAAAAAAAATGGACTCTTAGTTTAGAACTTTATTTTTAAATCTTTCACAGCAGTTCTATTTTGAGAGCAGAACTAGGAGAAAAACTTTAATTCATCTTTAGAAACTTCCTTATTTTGCAGGGGACAAGTCAGGCCCAAGTTCTCAGGTCAACAGCATATTGCTGACAGATGGAGACTGGAACCCAGATTCTTAAATATACCCTTCCATTCCCTCACACCAGCACTGTGTTTGTTCCCCGTGGTGGGTCGAACTGTGTCTCCTCAAAATTCCTATATTAAAGTTTGAACACCTGGTACCTCAGAATGTGATTTTATTTAGAACAGAGTCATGACATACATAATTAGTTCAGATGAGGTCATACTGAAGTAAGGTTGACCCTTCCACCAATATGGCTGGCGTCCTTATGAAAATGGGAAACGTGGGGACCAGCAGATGGTGTAATGGTTACGTCACTGGACTCCCACATGGTTGATGGTGGTTCGAGTCCCAGACTCAGTGGCTTAAACTCATGCTGGGTTCTTGTGCATGCGTGCCCACTCAAAATCCGGGGAGGAGAATGGAGGAGATGGGATTGTGGTGTGGCCACCCCCACCAAGGGGGGTGATTTCTCACTTTCTGTCTCTCTGGTGAGTGCACACACCCTCAAGAAAAAATCTCTCTAAGAAAGAAAAGGGGAAATTTGAACACACACTCCCTATTAAGATGAAGACAGAGGTCAAGATGATACACCTGCAAGCTAAGGGACATCAAGAGGTTGTCATCAAACTGCTAGAAGCTAGGGGAGAGGCATGGAAGAGATTTTTTTCCCTCAGCCCTCACGAGGAACCAACCCTGCTGACACTCTGATCTTCAACTTAGCTTCTAGAACTGTGAGACAATACAGTTCTGTTATTTAAGCTGCTTGATTTTTGGTACTTTGCTATGAAAGCAAAGTAGGAAACTAGTATTCTCCTCTGGGATGACCTTGGAAAGTCATCGGGTCTTGGGAAATTAGCAGTCTCCTTGGTGTTCCGAGTCTCTTTGGTCATTTGAGCTTCCTGGCCCCCCACATTGGAAAGCAGTGGTACTACGTAAGCAGACCTGAAGCTTTCCAAGCAGAAGTCAATAGCATGGCATTATGGAAGTCATGATTACTCAGACGAGGGCGAAATGTGAAAACATGTGAATAAAAACTTGGCAAGTGGACCATACCATCAGATTCTATGTAAATGATATCCCTATATTCAAAGACGCTTACACAATTTTGTGTGTATATGTTTAGATATGTGTATATATGCAGAGAGATGATATCTAAGTATATGTACAAAGAATAAGGGATGATTTTTTTTGTGATGAAAGTAGTTGGTTTTCATATTCACCAGGTCTTTTTGTTTCTACAAATTTCCTTTATAGTTTAGATTTTACTGTAGGGTATGTGTGATCGCCAGAGACACAGAGAGGGAAAGTGAGAAATCACCCCTGGGGGCATGGCCATGCCACAGTCCCTTCTCCTTCACTCTCCTCTGGAGATTTTTGACACAAATGAACATAAACTTGTCATGATTCTCAAATCTCCATGTCTAGGATTCAAACCACAAAGTCAGTCATGTGGGATCCAGTGCATTAGGCTCCATGCGACCTGCTGGACCAAGAATATATGTTTTTCACCTGTTTTACTCAATAATGTGAGGTTTAGAACCTTGTTTTTATGTCTGTTTTGATACTAATATTGAATTGCTCTGAAGTGCTATATTTTGTGACATATATATATGCATTCATTATTTTTTAATTCATCACGTAGGTTTTGAGCTGCAAATGGACTCTAGAGGTATTTTGGAAGTAAATTTGATAGGTAATGGATCAGATATAAAGGTGAAAGGGGTAAGCCTTTTGGAACAGCAGACTGAGGAGCTCAGAAAATTATCTTTTCAAAAAGTAGTAATAGGACCAGGTGGTGGTGTGGTGACTAAGACAGCTGGATCCGGCATAGCAGATTGTACGAGTCAGATCCTCAACTCAGGGGCTTGAAAAACATGCCAGGTATGTGTGTAGGCACGTATGTGCGTGTGCGTCCAGAATCCTGAAAGGAGAATGGCAAAGGGATTGTGGTGTGGCCACTCCCCTCGGGGAGAGTGATTTCTCTGTCTCCCTCTGGCAAGCACACATACCCTATAACAAAATGAAAAAAAAAATTTTAAATAAAATAAAATAAAAAACTGGGGAACAGAAGATGGCATAATAGTTATGTTGCTGGACTCCCATGCGATTTCATCAGCAGAGAATGGAGGCCTCACTGGCATAAAGTGTTTGGTCAAAGCCTTCAACCAATCATTAGCAGATGTTGATCCAAGGACCACTCCTAGGAATGTAGACTTAAAAATAAAGAGAAAAATGAAATATAGTTATCACTGGCTGCAATGTACAGGTTAAATAGACTACAGAATTGGTCCAGCCAGGTTCCTAAACAAAGAAAAAACAGGCATAACCACAAACCCTGGGAGAAAAATATCCGAATAGAGAGTTGCTACAATATATTATCTAAAATGTTGAGTTTTCAACAAGAAATTGTAAGATGTGCAAATAAGCAGGAAAGTATGACCCACAGATAGGAAGGACAACAGTAGAAACTGTCTCTGAGAGGCACAGATGTTGGACATAGCAGGCAAAGACTTTAAAGTAGCCATTAAAGGGCCGGGCAGGTGGTGTAGTGGCTTAAAGTGCTGGATTCCCACATGGTCAACCACAGTTCAAGTTCTAGACCTGGTGGCTTGAGACTCATGCTGGGTGCATATGCATGCCTGCCAAAAAGTTGTACTGTGGCTATGCCCCCAAGGGGTGACTTTTCTTTCTGTCTCTTTCTTTTAAAGATCTAATTAAATGCCATCAACAAGATGCAGACTTTGGGACCCACAGTTCGCTTAATGGCTATGCCGCTGGACTCCCATGTGGTCGACTGTGGTTCGAGTCCCGGACCCGGCAGCTTAAACTCACTCCAGGTACATGAGCGTGCATGCCCAGGATCCCGAGAGGAGAATGGCAGAGAAGGGATTGTGGGGTGGCATTCCCCCTGGGGGGTGATTTCTCGCTTTCTGTCTCTCTGTCTCTCTGTCTCTCTGTCTTTCTGGCAAGTGCACGCTTCCTATAGCAAAAACCTCTCCAAAAAAAAAAAAAAGGAAAAAAAAAAGAAATCCCAACATGGCTATATTATTGTCAGATAAAATAGATATTAAAACAAAAATATTGCTAGGGACAAGAGACATTTCATGTCATTAAAGTGTCAGTTCATAAGGAAGATATCACAACTATAAATATATAGTCACCTAACAACAGCAACAACAACAACAAAAACCACTACATGAAACAAAACTGGCAAAATTGAAAGAAAAAATAGGTATCCACAATATATGTACATATATATGTATATAGATATATAGATGATAGATAGATAGATGATAGATAGATAGATAGATAGATAGATAGATAGATGAGGGAGATGAAAACGTCTAATATGACCTTTAGCTATCTGGTTTGCACAATCTGATGAATGGTGGAGTAGCCAGAATCCAAGATGGTCCAAAATAACTCTTGTTTTCTCGTATTAATGCCTTACGTATTCCTTTCCTTTATTCATTTCAGTGTAACAGTACAGTTTATTGAACAGGGTTGACTCATGCAGCCAACAACATATTATGGCAATGACAGAGTGTGGCTTCTGAAGATAGGTCAGAGAAGCCATTGAGCTTCCTTACTATTGGGCAACTCACTTTTATTACTCTTGGAGAACTCAACTGCCATATTGTGAGGACACTCAAGCAGCCTTCTAGAAAGGCCTAGGTGAAAAGAGGTCTGCCAGTAAACACAGAATTGAATCTTCCTGCCAAAAACCATATGAGTGATTGTCTCTCTCTCTCTCTGTGTGTGTGTGTGTGCGTGTGTGTGTACCTCCTCGGATCATCCACCCCTGTCAAGCCTTGGACAACTGTAGTCCCAGATGACATCACGACTGCCACTTTGTGAGGGACTCTGCTTATGGCCATCTCACTGAACTATTTCTGAATTTCTGACCTATTGTTTTAAGCCTTCGAGTTCTGAGGTAATTTAAAAAAAATAATAATAGATAACTAACCCAATGGGAGTATTATTGATTGAGTTAGAAAATCCTGGAAGATAACTAGGTTTCAAAGAATATAATGAATATGGTTTTGGACACCGTGGAGCTGTTGAGTAAGCTGCTCATCTTGGGCCATTAGCAAACTAGTACTTTTTCTAGCCCCTTTGTCTTTCCGGTGAGTGCAGCATCCTATAGCAAAAATCTCTCTTAAAGAAAAAAGGGCATGAAGCCTGCCTGTGAGGGTGGGTTACACTGGCAATTAATGTATCAACACGAGTGGGGTTGTGGCATGATGCTGAAGGCAGCTGATCCCACACAAATATGTGGTTGAGTCCTGTACCTGGTGGCTTGAAAAACACACTGGTGGTGTGTACATATGTGTGCACATATATTCAATTGGAGAAACTGCTGCTCCAAACTCTCAAGAGGAGAATGGAAAAGAAGAGATTACTCTGTGTGTGTGTGTGTGTGTGTGTGTGTGTGTGTGTGTGTGGTGTGGAGGGTCCTTTCTTTCCCCCTTTTTCTGTGTCTCTGGCAAACTTTCAACATGGGTTTTGGAGGGGACATTCAAACCATAGCATAGGGACATGCCAAGCTGAAGTGACCTTTGAGGTATCAGTTATGGAGGAGGTAGTTGTATTAGATGCGTGGAGGAAGCTAGAGAAAAAAAAATTTAAGACAGATTTTTGCTATGGGGCATATGCATTTGCTGGAAAGAAAGAGAGAGACAGAAAGCGAGAAATCACCCCCAGAGGGGATCGCCATGCTGCAGTACCTTCTCCTTCATTCTCCTCTTGGGATTTCGGGCACGCACACACACACATGCCTGGTGTGAGTTTCAAGCCTCCAGGTCTGGGACTTGAACTGAGGTCGGCCATATGAGAGTTCAGTGATATAACCATTACACCA